GTTTCCCCACTGGCTCCTGCCCCCGGCCTGCCTGCAGCTGCTCCATCCCCTCCTTCCTTCTGTGGCTTTGGCAGCAGGAGCATCTCAGTCAGCTCTGATCCGGGAGCAGTTCACTACCCCCTCGCTGTGCCTCTGGGAAGGGCTTTAGGCTTGTGGGTCTGACTCAATGCTTTGGCTTCTCACCCTCCCAGCATAAGCCAATTTCCCCACTGGCTCCTGCCCCCGGCCTGCCTGCAGCTGCTCCATCCCCTCCTTCCTTCTGTGGCTTTGGCAGCAGGAGCATCTCAGTCAGCTCTGATCCGGGAGCAGTTCACTACCCCCTCGCTGTGCCTCTGGGAAGGGCTTTAGGCTTGTGGGTCTGACTCAATGCTTTGGCTTCTCACCCTCCCAGCATAAGCCAAAGCAGTGAGCTTGCAGCCCATGGGACACCACACCTGCCCTCCCTGCCTGATGCAGAGATGACCTGGGCTGGGTTCCTCTTGTGCTGCCCGGTGGCCAGGTCCTGGATGGGTTTCTCCTGGCTGAGGGGAGTGAGTTGGATTGGGCTGAGCTCTGTTTATGGGGCTGCATGTGGTGCCCCAGTGACCCTGTCTGGTCCCTTTGGCTTGCAGGTCAGCGCAGCCCTGGGATCCTGGCTGGAGAGCTGCAGCGAAGCTTGCGAGGAGGGTGGCACTCACACGCCGGATCCTGAGCTGCAGCAGGCAGGGGCAGGTCAGTATTTTGGGAGGCCGCAGAGCCCTGCCCTGCTCCGTGGTGTCCTGCAGCCTCTGGGGTGTGGTGCAGGTGCCCTAGGCTTTCCCCACCAGGCAGCAACACTGGGGGTGCCGGGCTGGGATGCAGGGGCCGAGCTGGTGCAGGGAGTCAGGTTTTCTGGTCACTGTGCTCTCCCAGGGCACTGCAGACTCAGTAGATGTAGAGCCTGTAGCCACCGGGCAAGTGGTCCGCTCATCCCCGCAGCCACAGTGATCAGTGGGCCAGGCCACGTGCAGGGCCTTACCAAATTCACAGCCGTGCAAAAAGTGTGTCACAGACCATGACACTTGCTATCCCCCCCTGCCCCCGTGAAATCCGGCGTTCTGTGTTCTTTTACTCTCTTCTGTATAGATTTCACGGGGGAGGCCAGCGTGTCTCAAGTCAGGGGTCCTGAACCGGAAGGGAGTTGCAGAGGGATCACGAGATTATTTTAGGAGGGTCACCCTTAGCTCCCTGCTGCCTTCAGAGCTGGGCAACTGGAGAGCAGTGCTTGTAATGTGGGCCGGGTGCCCAGCTCTGAAGGCAGCGCCCTGCCTCCAGCAGTGAGAATTAAGGGTGGTAACACCATACCCACATCACCCTTACTTCTGTGCTGCTGCTCCAGAGCTGGGTGGCGGCTGCTGACCAAGGGCTCAGCTCTGCAGGCAGCAGCACAGAAGTAAGGGTGGCAGTACCGTCTCCCCCATACAACTCCTTTTTGGGTCAGGATCCCTACCACTGCAACACTGTAAAATTTCAGATTTAAATTGCCAAAATCGTGAAATGCACCATTTTAAAAATCCCGGGACTGTGAAATTGACCAAAATACACCATGGACTTAGTAGTACCCTTCCCACGTGGCGAGTAAGCGTTCAGCAGCATGAGGCTGGGTCCCCCACTAATGGGAGGCTGCGGCAGTTGTGCCAGGAGGGGTGTTTTGCTGTCTCCTAGGCCCTGGGGAACTGCATCATGCCAACCCTGTGGTCCTGGACAGACTTGTGGGGCTGGAGGCGGAGGTGAAGTACGTCAGCACTGAGCTGCGTGCAGAGAAGTTACTGTGGAGCAGCAGGTACCTGGAGCTGCTGAGGGAGCAGCAGGCACTCCGTGACTGGGTAGGCGTCAGACAAATGCCCTGGCCACACTACGGCCTCCCCAGCATGCCGGGCTGTGGGGGCTGGGGACTTCTCTCACCTGCTCTCCCCTTCCCAGTTCCAGGAGTGGGGCCGGAGCCGGAAGCTGGAGGCCAAAGACAGCCTGGAGATGCAGAGCAATGCCGAGGCTCCCAGCAGGGCTGGAAGTGATGGGTGGTGCATGGGAGACAGCAGCTGGGACCGCCAGAGCCCATCAGGTGGGGCAAGCTCTGGGGGGCTGGGGTGGCAGGAGGTGCGGGGAATGGTGTGCAGTGGGAACACGGGCCATGGGGGAAGGACCCCCAGCAATTGGGGGGTAGGAAAGAGCCCCCACAGCCTCAGAGAGCCCCCACAGCCTCAGCAGTGGTGCAGAATCACCAGGCTCTGAGCGCTGCCTGGCTGGCAGATGTAGGGGCAACAGCAGGGGCTGGTCCAGCTGCTGAGTGTGGCTCCGGGCTGCTCCCAGTCTGTGCAGAGTGGGAGGTGACCAGCGTGCATGAGGCTGCGGGGGGCTGGGCAGCGGGGTGCATCGCTGGGGGGTGCCAGGCCCGCCCCATGGTGTCCAGTGCCTGAAGGCCCCCGGAACCCACTCACCCTCCCATGTGCTGTCTCACAGGGGAGCAGATGCGCCCTGGCCAGCCGCCCACGCGCCCACACTGCCTTCTTCGGAGCCCTCCCGCCTCCAGCTGCTCCAGCCGCGCCTCCGTATCGTCAGCCCCCGCCAGCTTCGACCCCAGGCCCAGCTCAGCACCCGGGGAGGTTGGCTGCAGGTGCATCCCCGGCTCGTGTCTCTGGGTTCAAGCTGCTCTGGCGGGGGCCCATCTGCTAGGGCTCCTGCCAGCAGCCGCACTCCCCGGCCTCAGCTGCTGAGCTGGGCTCAGCTCCCCCAGCATGGTCGGAACCTGGACGTTGCAGGGCCCAGCCTCCTGCGATCTGCTCCCCACAGCAGTGGCCCGTTCCTTTCAAAGGGGGCTCAGCAATGAAGTCCCTCCCCCGGTCTCTCTGCCGCATGTGCCCCCCGATCCCTGTTCCATGGGACGGTGCCCCTGCCCCTCACGTGGGCTCGCTGTGCCCCCCAGGCAGCGTCCAGAGCCTGAGCACAAGGTGTAATGGAGAACTGGGAGGGGCTGCACCAGACCCTGGGCCATGGGTGTGGGGGAGGCCCTCGTCTGTGGGGCTGGTGGGGGGACGGGGCACAGGCCCTTGCTCCCAAAGGGGCTGCAGGTCCTTGCTCTGGGTGGGAGGAGGACCCCTCACGTGGGCTCGCTGTGCCCCCCAGGCAGCGTCCAGAGCCTGAGCACAAGGTGTAATGGAGAACTGGGAGGGGCTGCACCAGACCCTGGGCCATGGGTGTGGGGGAGGCCCTCGTCTGTGGGGCTGGTGGGGGGACGGGGCACAGGCCCTTGCTCCCAAAGGGGCTGCAGGTCCTTGCTCTGGGTGGGAGGAGGAGAGAGACCTTGGGTGGGTGGAGGAAGGACAGGCTGTGGCCCCAGGGTGCCTGGGTATGGGG